TAGTGTTTGAAGACCATCCTTGAAAAACTTACTGTGTTCAGTATAAAGTATTATTTGGTTGTGTAATTATGTAATTCAGTATAAAATATTTACCTTCCAACTCTCTTTAATAGGAATCCCTTCCGATGAATTTGCAATCAAGGAATTATCACCAACAGAGAATATTAATAAAGGAGAATTTTACCACTTAGTGATATTGGAGAGAAATGGAAGTCATGGAATCAAGGATTTTGATCTCCAGGAAGTCTGGGAAGATATGCATGAGTTTGAAAGTCAGTGGGGATATGATACAAGAAATTATAAAGTGCCTTTGACCCATAACAAAAATTTCATTTGTAGAAAAGACCAGCAACTTAATCAGTCCTCAGTTACTCTTCCTAAAAAGCAGAGTGTTTCTGTAAGAAATAACACATACCAGTATTTCATGGGTGGTGAGCCATTTATAAGGACTTTGTTAAAACTAGACAAGAACAGAATTGGTGCTGGAAACCAGTACGTAAACTGCTTGGAAAATAGAAGTGGATTAAGTTTGCAGGCACATCGGGCTGAACTGCAGAGATTTCACAGTGAGGAGAAAATGTATGAATGTAATCCAACTGAGAAGTCTGTCAGCAATGGTTCCTCAGTCTCACCACTTCAAGGAATTCCTCCCAGTACCAAAAACATTTGGAATAAATCTAGGAAGATTTTAAAATACCCTTTATTACCTGCACAAGACAGGAGAGGTTATGCAACAGGAAAATCTTACAAGTGTAATGACTGTGGGAAGGCTTTTAGCAAAAGCTCAAATCTCATGAGTCATGAGAGAATTCATTGTGGACAGAGACCTTACAAATGTAATGACTGTGGCAAAGCCTTTACAGACCGTTCAAATCTTACTCGACATAAGAAAATCCATACTGGAGAGAAACCTTACAAATGTAACGAGTGTGGCAAAGCGTTTACCCAATGTGCAAACCTTACTAGGCATCTGAAAATACACACTGGAGAGAAACCACACAAATGTAATGTGTGTGACAAGGCTTTTAACCAAAGCTCAAGCCTTATGGCACATCGGAGAATTCATACGGGAGAAAAACCTTATAAATGTAGTAAGTGTGGTAAGGCTTTTATCAAACGTTCAGACCTTTGGGGTCATGAGAGAACTCATACTGGAGAGAAACCTTACAAATGTAGCGAGTGTGGCAAAGCCTTTGCTGAGCGTTCAAATCTTACTCAACATAGAAAAATCCATACTGGAGAGAAACCTTACACATGTAATGAGTGTGGCAAAGCATTTACCCAATTTGCATCCATTACTAGGCATCAGAAAATACACACTGGAGAGAAACCACACAAATGTAATGTGTGTGACAAGGATTTTATCCAAAGTTCAAACCTTATGGCACATCAGAGAATTCATACAGGAGAGAAACCTTATAAATGTAGTAAGTGTGATAAGGCTTTTATCAAACGTTCAGACCTTTGGGGTCATGAGAGAACTCATACTGGAGAGAAACCTTACAAATGTAATGAGTGTGGCAAAGCATTTACCCATTTTGCAACCCTTAATACACACCGGAAAATACACACTGGAGAGAAACCACACAAATGTAATGTGTGTGACAAGGATTTTATCCGAAGTTCAAGCCTTACGAGACATCAAAGAATTCATACGAGAGAAAAACCTTATAAATGTAATAAATGTGATAAGGCTTATATCAAACATTCAGACCTTTGGTGTCATGAGAGAATGCATATTGGAGAGAAACAAATGTTATGAGTGTAGCAAAGCCTCTAGTGGAATGATCACATCTTACTCAGCATAAGAAAATCCATACTGGAGAGAAACCTTATAAATGTAATGAGTGTGGCAAAGCTTTTGCCCAATTGCAAAACTTATGAGGCATCAGAAAACACATCATGAAAAGAAACACAGTAAACCTAATATGTGTGGTGGTGCATTTATTCAAAGCTTCAGCTTTGGGGTCATCAAAGAACTCATGGTAGAAAGAAAACTTGCAAATAAAGTGAGCAAGTGTTCAAGCTGTACTCAGCATCACAGATTCCATCAAGGAGAGTTAACATATGAAACTAATGTACGTGGCAAAACTTGTAACCATCGCTCACACCTCACCTGGTATCAGAATATAAATCTCCGAACCATACAAATGGAATGTATGGCAAGGCTTATACAAGGTTATACCTTGGGGAACATAATTTTTTCTAGGGAGAAACCTTACAAATGTAATGAGTGTGGTCAGCTTTATAAAAGTGTACAACTTTGGGGTGGAGGGTAAAAATAAGTGAATGGGATTAAGAGGTACAGACTTCCAATAATAATAATAAAAAAAATGTACAACTTTTGGTCCTGAAAGAATTTACAACAAAGAATTCATACTGGACAGAAACATTACAAACGTAATTAAAGTGATAATTTATTCAGCCAATTCTCTCAGTGGACTACCATAAGAAAATTCATACTAGGGGGAACTAGGTTTATTTTGAGCATTAATCAATCTTAGGTGTTAAATTCCACAGAAAATTAAAATTATTTAAATTCATGAGATGAAGTGTGTCAATGCAACAAGTATATCTGGAAAGACCTAATCATCTTCTGTTTAAATCTCTTTGAAAGATTTTATTTTCTTCTCTACATGCATCATGGGACTCAAACTCAACCACACAATCAAGAGTCACATGCTTTTCCGACTGAGCCAGCTAGGCACCCCTATAATTTTTTTTACTACATTTGCTATTCTTGGGGCACCTGGGTGGTTTTGTCAGTTAAGCGTCTGACTTCAGCTCAGGTCATGATCTCAGAGTTCATGGGTTTGAGCCCCGCGTCAGGCTATGTGCTGACAGCTGAGAGCCTGGAACCTGCTTTGGATTCTGGTTCTCCCTCTGTGCCCCTCCCCCACTCACGCTCTCTTTCTCTCTCTCAATTTGATATTCCTTGAGGCTACAGTATTATTGAGGACTTAAAGCCTCAAGTTTGGAGTCCATGGATGTTACACTTTCATTACATGTGTTTCACTTGTCAACCACAGTGGTCTCAGAAAGAAATGGTAAGGTGAAAGGAACCTAATTGATTAGGTAGGTGGTGCTTACTCATACTCTATAACCTAGAAAAACTAGGATGCTAATTTTAAGATACAGTATAAATTTGAGAGCATGGGGAGTGGCAGTGAATAGATATAAAGCTATTATCTAAATTGCCATGTTTTCTGTGGTCATAGGCACTTCTCTGGATTCAATGGTATCATTAAGAGCCTTTGTTCATTTTATTAGAGGCAAGGATTACTCTATCAGATAGATGGTCATGAAACAGTAGGTCGGGACACTGAAAGAATGAGATTTTCATGTGAGAGTGATGGGTTACTAAACATGGTATATGTGGTAGAGAAAATGGAAGAGGAATGATGGTCTTTCCCTCTTGTGAAAGGTAACTGCTGTTGTATATCATCGATGAGCAAAAAATTAGTCTTATTTTTGGAAACTGAAAAGTCTAGAGGACCTTTTAATCAAAAGAACCAAAGTAGGGGAGAGAGGAGGGGCCAACATGGAGGAGAAGTAGGGGGATCCATACTTCCTGCATCTCTCAAACAAAGAAGTGCAGAAGTCAAAGGACTTTGAACACTAGAGCCTGGGAGGAAAAGAGACTGAATTTACTAGGAAGAAAATGGGAAAACTGGAAAAAAGATAAGTGAATGACTGTGAACTGGGGGAGATAAAAAAAAAGGCCACGTGGGCATAGAGGGGAAGGACCCCCTTCTGCGGAGAGACAAAGGGAAGAGAGCGCGCGGCTAATGAAGTGTAGGTCCATATCTGGACAGGAGAAAGACCTTGGACTGAGACTAATTGGGACCCGATCTCTAACTGTGGGGCTTTCTACTGACTAGGGCCGGCTCCCTATTCATGCACCTGAGGAGGAGGGGAGCCAGGCCCGGGTGCGGTGGTAGGTCATGGGCTCAGTCCCCAGTTGGAGAAAGTGGTTCCCTCCCTGGAGGGCTGCGTGATAGTACAAAGCCTGCCTGCGTCTGCCACCCCTGGGGCTCAGTGGCTGGGCCGAGGGTACAGTCTGCAGTAGGAAAAGGCAGCCATCTCCCTGGAGTGCTGTGAGAAGAGACAAAGTCTGCCTGCGTCTGCCACAGCGCGGGTAGCGAGGGCAGCGGCTCAGTCCGCAGGTGGAGAAGGTGGTCCTCCCGGAAGTGCAGCGTCACAGACAAAGCCAGATGGAACCACATACCCTGCGCACTGAGAGGCGCTTCCCCAGTGCCAGAGCACACACACAGCAGGACTTTGAATCCTAGCCAAGCGCAGGGTCAGGGGAGTTGGCGGAGTGAGAAGGACCACCCCATCTGCGCCCGGGGCACAGTGAGGACGACTCAAACAGAGTCCACTGGGTCTGGCTCCCTGAGGAAGAGACTGGGGGATCACCATTCCTCCCCACTGCCACCACCACCACCAAGACGGGGCCTCAGGGATCACTCCCCCGCCCACAGGGGAGGTGGGTCCAGACTACACCAAACCACGCCCCTTCTCACTGGGTAACTGCATATCCACCAGAGTGGCACAGGCCCTGTGGACAGCTCCTCCTGACAAGCGCTGTAGCATTGCCTGTATTCCTCTAGGTCAATTCTGGATATATAGAAATATTCTCCCCTCCCCACCCCCCCAACCATTTTCCTCCTTATCTCTTCCCTCCCCTAGGCTGGTTACTCTGGTTATTGGTTTGTCTAAACAGACATATTTAATCCATTGTCTTGATACATGTTCTACACCTTCTTTACACTCCTTTCTCCTTCTCTGGAATAATCAAGCCAAATAGTTTCTCTGAGTAACTTTATCTTCGTTTCGTTTGCCACCCCTCCTTTATTTTCCTTTCTCTCATGATTAAGCCTTTTAGTCTCTCTGCCTAGTCAATGTTTATTTTTTCTCCCCCTTCCCCCTGTCATTTCTCTCTTTGTATGTGCTCTTCCATCAGCACCGCCTCCACCGTCTTCTTTACTTGTAGTCGGTGTTTTGGGGTTTTTTGGTTTTAGTCTTTAGTTTTTTGTTTGTGCTTTTTGTTTGTGTCTTTGTATGTTTTTGTCTCCTGTTTGTCTATCTGTTTTCCTTTACAGGGCTACTCTCAGGAACAAATCAAAGCACAACTGGTGGAGGGTCCAAAATATCTCTAGGAGTAGGGCAATAAAATAACCAAAGTCACAACAGACAGCAAGTAACAACCTCTGAAAAAAACACCGCCTGAAGGGCCAGGCCCTGGGCAGTGTAGGACCCTACTTTAATACAGCAGTGCTCATAGGTGCAGAGCACACACCAAGCTTTTAAAATGCATAAGGGACTGGGGCGCCTGGGTGGCGCAGTCGGTTAAGCGTCCGACTTCAGCCAGGTCACGATCTCGCGGTCCGTGAGTTCGAGCCCCGCGTCAGGCTCTGGGCTGATGGCTCAGAGCCTGGAGCCTGTTTCCCATTCTGTGTCTCCCTCTCTCTCTGCCCCTCCCCCGTTCATGCTCTGTCTCTCTCTGTCCCAAAAATAAATAAACGTTGAAAAAAAAAATTTTAAATGCATAAGGGACAGAAAACTAGCCAGAATGACAAAACGGGAGAATTTTAAAAAGATATTCCAGGAAGTAGTGCCAGCTAATGAATTGATCAAAAATGATTTAAGAAATATAACTGAACAAGAATTTAGAATAATAGTCATAAAATTAACTGCTGGGCTTGAAAAAAATAATAGAGGACAGCAGAGAATCTATTGCTACAGAGATCAAGGGACTAAAAAATAGTCATGATGAATAAAAAAATGCTATAAATGAGGTGCAAAATAAAATGGAGGTGGCCACAGTGCAGACTGAAGGGAAGGGGGGAGAATAGGTGAATTAGAAGATAAAATTATGAAAAAAGAGGAAGCTGAGAAAAGGAGAGAGAAAAAATCCAGGACTATGAGGCGAGAATTAGAGAACTAAGTGATGCAATCAAACAGAACAATAACTGTATCATAGGAATTCCAGAAGAAGAAGAGAAAGGGGCTGAAGGGGTACTTGAACAAATCATAGCTGAGAACTTCCCCGATTTGGGGAAGGAAACAGGCATTGAAATCCAAGAGGCACAGAGAACTCCCTTCAGATGTAACTTGAATCGATCTTCTGCAGGACATATCATAGTGAAACTGGCAAAATACAAGGAAAAACAGAATTCTGAAAGCAGCTAGGGATAAACGGGCCTTAACATACAAAGGCAGACACATAAGGGTAGTAGCAGACCTATCTACTGAAACTTGGCAGGCCAGAAAGGAATGGCAGGAAATCTTCAATGTGATGAACAGGAAACATTTGCAGCCAAGAATCCTTTACTCAGTAAGTCTGTCATTTAGAATAGAAGGAGATATAAAGGTTTTCTCAAACAAACAAAAACTGAAGGAATTCATCACCAATAAACCAGCCCTACAAGAGATCCTAAGGGGGATTCTGTGAGTGAAATGTTGCAAGGACCACAAAGTACCAGAGACACCGCTGCAAGCATGAAACCTACAGACATCACAATGACTAAGCCCGTATCTTTCAATAATAACATGGAATGTAAATGGACTAAATGCTCTAATCAAAAGACGCAGGGTATCAGAATGGATAAAAAAAAACAAGACCCATCTATTTGCTGTCTACAAGAGACTCATTTTAGACCTGAGGACACCTACAGAATGAAAGGGAGGGGATGGAGAACTATCTATCATGCTACTGGAAGTCAAAAGAAAGCTGGAGTAGCCATACTTATATCAGAC